CCACTATGCATCCACAAACAGTAGGATTAGTAGAAAGGTTTAATCAGACTCTTTCACAGATGCTATCAAAATATGTGAATGTTACGCAGACTGATTGGTGTGTATATGTTCCTTTAGTAACTCATGCTTATAATTGTTCCAAACAGTCATCAACTAAGTTTTCACCATATTCAATTATCTTTGCAAGAGAGCCGGTAATGTTATCTGATAATAGGTTAGAATGGAATGTATCCGATAGGAGAAATAGGAGGCTTGAGAATGAAAATCGAATAAGAAAAGTAAAAGAGAATCTCATAAAAGCACGTCTCACTCAGAAAAGATTATATGATCGAAAAGCTAGGTTAATTACTTATCAACCTAGGCAATTAATATTACTATATTGTCCTAAAAGAAGGTCAGGTCTTAGCAAGAAATTAGGTCGTCCGTACAAAGGCCCATATCAGATAATACGATCGCTTGGTAATAATAATTATGTTGTCAAAAGATTAAGGAATTCAAGAATAAGGATTGTACATGTAAATAGAATAAAACCATTCAGGCTACGATAGTATAGAGTAATGTATATAGGTAATGTAGAATAGTGAGATTGATTTATTGTTATAGTGTCATGTAAAGTCAATTTTATGAATAATTAGGGTTAATTCAGTATTAGGATAGAATATATATAGTTAATAATGTATAATAGGATAATATAGGTCCATAAAGAAAATTCCCTTATTATAAAAAAGGAAACGGGTTCGATTCCCTGTAAGGTTAAAAAAATAAATAAATAAATGAATAATAATGTTATACTTTGAAAATTTACCCAACTATGGAAAAGAGGCTATAAAGATTTATCATAAATGTTTTCTTGAATATTAACTTACCCGACTGAAGAAAAATGGTGTAAAGAATTTTACTAATATTTTCTTGATTGTTTTATGTACTACCACATGATGCGGACTTCCCGAGAGAGAGCAGGCTGGCGCTCATGCAGACGTCAGCGATACTGACGATGATCCACCCTGAAGATGATGGAGACACCCTCTACGAATTCGCGTCGTTTTCGTTTCAATTTGGTCGCGTCGCGTTCGTCAAAATCGTCACTTGTAGTAGTTTGACTTGGGGGTAGGGAACCCTTAGTATTCCATGGGAATTGGGTTTAATCTTGTTTGATGCTAGATGTCCTTACCCAAAATTTCTATTACGTTTGCGCATCATGGGTGTCTAATAAAGTACAAGACAATAAAGTGGTGGACCACGTCTGTATCTTTATTAAAGATGTACGAAAGTAAACATTATTTATAAATTCTTTTAGGTTTTGCTCAAATCCAGTTAATGTTTACGAATCTTAGGAAATAGTTTGAATTTCGTTTCGTACATCTACTTAGTATGGGAAGTAATGAAGTTTCAAAATATAAATTTTCTTGATATTTAATGGTTTAATAAATGGGATAGGGTAAAGTTTTGCTGATAGATGGGATAAAATAAAAATTGCTTGGGTAATTTAAGTTATAGCTAGGGTTAGCTTTGTTTTTTTGTTTTTGCCGACTGATGTCGATGTAAAGTAAAGTAAAGTTAAGGTTAGGAGGGAGATGTGCGAGGGATTTTGTTAAGGTTTTGCTCCCGTAAAGTCTTTGCAATAAAACTTTGCAAACAGTTAGGGTTCTTTTCCCGTAAAGTTTTTTTTTTTTGCAAGTTTTGCAAACTTATTGTGAGGGCTAGTCTGTAGTAAAGGCCACCTCCCAGTTGTATTTATGTCCTTAAGCAGGTAGGGATTTTAGATAGGACTGTCGAACCCTCTCGATGTAGTAGGTAGGAAAAAAAAATTTTGTTCGGTCATCTGGTATGACAAAACAATTTTTTTTTTAGAGGTGCCGGAGGGATGTAACGTCCTTAACGTTATAACCTCCTTGTTTAGGTAAACTCTTTGCTTTTGCAATGCCTACGGTTGGCAGTTATATTAAAAAAGGTTAATGTCATGATTTTAAGATTTGAAATAAGGAATCGTCTGTCTTTTGATAGAAGGTTCCATTCTAGATTAGATCTTCAGGCACCAAGAACTTCCTCTCGTATTTAGATAAAATTTCTTTATATTCGCCTGAATGATAAAAAAGAAATAAACAATTTATCTCTATCAGTATTTTTCAATTATCGACTACGCTCCCAGGTCCTATCCCTTCTGGGTAGAACGCTATAGTACCGACCCGCACAGATTTGTCTGTACCGGAAACCTGTTTCTTTATGTATGCAACCTTATGAAGATAGAAACAAAAATGAACTTTATGTGTAATAAGTTAGAGTATTTTTTTTGAATTCTCATATTGTTTCGTAAGCATTCCAGATAAAATTAGAATATAAGTTCCTTGATAAAGCCATCTCCTAATTTTATGAAGTGAAATCGATGTATTTAGGTTCCTCCTCAGACCAAATAAAAAGTATAGACGGAGTCTGCCGAACCAAAAAGTGAAGCCGATAAAAGTACGCCTCGCCGTGTACATACACAGTTACACGCACACACATGCAACGAAACTACGCCTTGGCTTCTCAGTCGAGCTATCCCGACGCGCGGAGTGTGACGTAATAATAAATAACAATATTTATTAGAAAAAATGCCGAATGGTGTATTAAAAACGTGTAAAAACCAATCATCCAAGAATAAAAAACAGGATGGAATCACATTTCATACGTAAGTAAAGTTATAAACTGCTATTTTCAATTAATCAAAATCAAATTTGAGGTTGTCGCTTTGTAAACAAAACCTGAACGAAATGTTGCCATGATTATTCGTTACAGTTTTACCCTTTTGTTGGGTAGCGTGAAATATAACGTAACGTTATTTTATTATATACATTGTGTGGCATACTTTTAAATTATTCGAATATTGTAATGCATGGATAAACAATTACACGAAACATCTTTTTTCTTTATGTATTCGTATAAATTTTTTGGGATGTAATACACATTATTTAATATACGTTCTTTTTAAGATTTCCTAATCGAGATCAAGATCTAAAAGAGAAGTGGATTGCAGTCATTCGTAAGAGTAGAAATGCACCATTGTGGCAACCAGCTTCCCGCAGCGTGGTTTGTTCGACTCATTTTCAGAGCGACGATTTGTAAAATAATAATATATTTGTAATTTTATTTGTATTGTACTTTTTAATGGCCTTTTTGACCCAAAATTCGCGATGTTTGTTAATTTTTTTTATTATGTTCTTGTATAGGAACTAGTGATTATATTTTGTGTATTCTATAGAAAATTTCATGTACATTTTAATAAAAGAAACTATTTATCAACGTTTGTATATGCTTTTCGTTTTATCGACATAAAGTTGAGATGACTGATTTGTAAGCGATTTCAAGTGCCTTGTTGCGAGTGCTTGAAACTATAAAACGAACAAACCTATTCCATCCGAGACTTGTAACTAAAGTAAAATAATCAATCCAACATAATTAAACGTCAACACATAAATCAAGGCACTTGGATCTCGCATTTGTTTTTATCAACACTTGCAACACGACCCTTTTTTTTCTGTTGCGTGTTATATTTTATAATTGTATTTGGTAAGTTATTATATACATTCATTCATATATAGTACATTCTATATGTACAAAAACCTGGATTTATAATTTACAAATTTTGAAAATACACCTCATTTTACCTATTTAAACGACTTTTTTTATCTTTCCTGAGTTTACCATAATGTAATTAAAAAAATGTTTAAGGGCTGATAACTATTTTTTGATGATGTTTATTTTTTCTAGTAAACTTTTCTTTAGATTTATTTTTTGGTGATCATTTAAATCATGCACCTTTAAAATTTCGCCATACAAACCTTTATAGAGACTTTGTCCGCGACCAGGCTTGCATCCTCACAGTCCTGATTTGGCCCCGTGTGACTTCTTTTTATTCCCTAAAATAAAAATAATCAGCTCATAGGGATAATGAGGTAAGAGGTTTCATCACCGGAAGAAGCGTTTGAGAAGGCCGTGGAAGAGGTATCTGCGGAGGACTGGAAAAATGTTTTGAAAATTGTTTCAGACGCATGAAACTTTGTATAGAGGCTGGTGGAGAGTTCTTTGGAAAGATTTAATAAAAAAATGGTTGCCTGTAAAGTCGGTTTTACGGGCGAAGATTTTACGTGACAACGTCTTTTTCTCGGTAGAATATTTATTGATATGAATATAATTAAATTGCACAATAGGAACAAGGAATTGAATGAAAATAAGAATTGCACAAATTTTAACTATAGAAATATATTTTGTTTACTAAAACATTGTACATGTAAACTTAAACTTAACACGAGAGACTCATCGTAACGTTACCGAGCGTTACACTTTTTCATAAGTGACTCCCAGCCGCAACCTAATTTAAGACGTTGTCACGTCAATAAATTATAGACATGACGCATTGTGTACACACTGTTTTATTGAAAATTTTATGAAGAATCCAAATATACGTTTGTGAAGGGTATTTTTACAAAATAACAGAGAAATCGGCAGAACAATGCAATCGTTCCCACCCAGCGGGCGGGCGGTCCATAAAGAAGTCCGGCACTTGTAGGTGAGAACGGCGCATGACCTTTGGCTCACGAGAGGTTTAGAGAATAAGCTTACGATATTTTTTTCTAATATTTTATAACGTTATTAATAACGTTATTACATTTTTCTAATATTGGGGTGTTTTATATGACTATGGCAACACTGGCTAATGCACTACATACATAAAAAACCGGCTTCACTTTTTGGTTCGGCAGACTCCGTCTTTACTTTTTATTTGGTCTGAGGGTTCCTCGTACCAAAAATTATAAGAAATAAACATTTTTATATTGCAATTTGACATGAGTCAACTAGCCTATTCGTAACGTCAAAGTGACAGTTCCAATATTGGCAATATTAGAATTGTTTTTTTAGTTTGGATTATGTAAATATTATATTGCCTTAATCCAAACAAAAAAAAAAAAGGCAGGTATTATGTAGGTAGGCTACATGAAAATACGGGGCTTTAAATAAATGAACATAACACTGAATACATATTAATTCTTAGTTTTATTTTCTAAAGTTTTACACATTAAATTTATATTGAATAATACTTGATTTTTCTGGAAAACTTGTTCGTAAGATAAACATGTTGTTGACCTCTGGAGTTGAATTCAATGTTTCCAAGTAACCAAACCAATAAATTACTAATCCTGGTCCGAATCGGTTCCAATAACACAGTAATTGCTCTTTTAAATAACCCGAATGATTTTCTTCATCGCCAAATAATGCTTTGCTTTCAACCCAGTTTATAATAAATCCATCGACTGCAATAGGTATATCCAGTTTAAAATCTGGAGTCTTGTCATATCCTCTTGCTCGTAACATATTTTCATCAGAAAACGTAATATTCATCAATCTTAGTTCTCTTTCTAATCTGAGTTCGTACTCAAGTCCAATTGATCTATAATGAAAAATAAAAAGGAGATTTTATTCAGGAGCCTTTTAACACGCGGGGCAAACCTTCAATATTGCGAAACTATTTATTTATATCGTGGATCCACGCAGTCCTTCTGTTTAGAATTACATTTAAAACAGTTTTATTTTAAGAGCCCTTTTACAAAATTGCGCCGCTGCCGCCGTACTGATCGGCGCGTAGGTAGATTTTTAGGCACTAGTATATATTGCATTTTACGAGTGATGTTTCGAGTCTTATAAAATAATTATTAATGATTTAATTATAAAAATATATACATATTTCAGTAGTTCAATGATGTTACATTGTTTTTTTTTAAAGTTTTTGATAGTAATTCTATTTAATTCAATATCAAAATACGAGGTAAACCTGCATTATTTTTTGGGAAAACTCACGGAAGTTAGATGTTTTTTTTGATAATTAATGTGATGGAAAATCAAAATTCTAATACATTTCGTTACAACAAAATTATATTTCTGATGTCGTAGTAATTATTTTGATCTAATTTATTGAACATTATTGAGAGATTAAGGCGTTTGAAGTTGTGCATATTATTGTTTTTTCCGCAAACAAGCTGCAGTAGAACGATCAGTACAAAAAAAGGAAAAAAGTATTTGCAAATATTCTACATTAACTTACAATAGGAAGAATAAATCTACTGTTTACTTCTTTTAGAAATAGTCAAAATCTTTTCAAAGGGGGTAAACGAGGCGAACAAAAATTACGATTTTTTGCAAAAAATGTGAAAGGGCTCTTAAGCTATTATGGGCACTGACAAGAGATGTCAATCAGAACTAATATTATAAATGCGAAACTTGCGAAAGTGTGTGTCTTTCTGTCTGACGGTTACCTCTTCACGCTTAAACCACTAAACCTATTTAAATGAAATTTGGTAAAGCTATTGTATAAGTAGACCTACGCGGAAAAGACAAATCATTACACATAGTTTAAGGATAGTTATTATCCTAGAATTCACCCTTGAAGGGGGTGAAGGGGGGGGTGGAAGTTTATATGGGTAATATTTTTTTCCAGGCAGACGAACTACTAGTAAATTATATTTTACTAGCGGCCGTCCGCAACTTCGTCCGCGTTAACTGAAGTTTTTTGAGAATCCCACAGAAACCTAACATTTTTCCGGAATAAAAGTATCCCATGCCTCAATTGAGGTAATAAACGATATGTGAGCCAAATTTAACCCAAATCCATTAAGCCATTTTTGTGTGATTGAGTAACAAACTCACAAACATATATTGTTCGTGCCTGCGTTTTTACAACAGCAATCTCCCATGAAACAAAGAGCGATTTATTTCATTGGAACATTTTACTTCTTATACTATCTACGGATTTTTGGCATTCACATTGTTCTTGTATAATGGCTACGAGCTAACTTCATTCATCAAATAAGTAATTTTTCATGTTGATCGTATCAAAATACAAACTTTTACCACATTACGGAGTTTCATTTATGTCCAAAAAAGAGACACATAACCTTTTACATTTATAGTATTAGTAGGATAGAAGGATAATTAAATATCATTACAACCGAGACCAAAACAACTTAAAGCTCTGCTGCAGTTTTTTAAATCAAGAAAACTTTATCCGACTTCCAAAAACTTTTCTTTTTCATCCGTCGTTTGCGAGTCCGAAATGTCATTGTCAAATGTGTACTGATTTTTAGTTCTCGTTACGTACTTTGTGCCGCTGCTGTTCAAGTTTCCATACAAAATTTGACATTGACATTACGGTTTGCAAACTATTCTAATTCGATAATGGTTCGTGCTAGGGGTACAGTACCCTTAGTACGAGTTTGAGCACACGAAAACTATCATAGTTTTCGTAATTGTAAATTATGTTTCTATGTCCACTTTGGTGAAAAGTAACAAAAAAAGTTAAAATTTAAGAAGACGCAAATGATTTAATGACAGAATTTGTGCTCGGGGTACTGAGGACTCGTAGCGATGTTATGTAAGAAGAGCTGTTTTTTCACGGGAACTAATTCTTTGAGATGTTATTATGATCCGTTGAAAAACATATTGAGCAGTGTTTTTAATTTAATGGCGGTTGATTAATTGTTGCGACAGTAAAACATGGACAGTAATAAAAAAACAATTAGCCGGTTATTTTATCATACAATGTCAATTCTAAATATAATTGAGCATTCCAATAACTGAATGAGCTGTAAAAATTGAGCGGTTCGACATATAGTTCGGCAGATTGGTTTGTTAAAAACATTGCACTCGGACAAAGAAGGAAGAGGGGCAGACCGTCGAAAGCCAAAACCTGCACTTATTATACAATAAGTTTATTTTAGCTGCTACTAAGCAAATTCTATGTCATTTTAATTACTTAAGTATGTTTCTTATTACGAATAAAAGTTCCTATTATTATTATACAATTTGTTTTATTTCATTCCTCCAGTCAAAGCAAAAGTAATTTAATTTTTTCATAACTATTTAAGTACTTTTTTTTTATTTTATTTTACCACCTCATTGCTTATAGAATTGCTTAGAATGAGATTTCTTACCGACAAATTCCGATTTATTACTGCCCACATGTAACCGCTCGTTTATTAATTTTCATTATTCATTTCATTATTTTCCTACTCAATTATATCACTGATCCAGTTCATTATTTTTTATAACTCATTTTTGTTTACTTTACTGCTTAGTTTTAACTGCTGAACTAGTTATTAAACGTGCCATTTATAATTTTTAAATATTTAACTTACCAAAATTGCTATTTACAACTGCCTCTTTAAATCAGTGCCTTTTTTACCCGACTGCGCAATGCAAGAGCGCGAAGCGCGACGCGTAGACAGGGTATAGTGTTTAACACAGTGTATATATTATGTATGTTTGTTCCTTTGTGGCACACTAGAGACCAAACGCCTGGACCGATTTTGATGATTCATACATCAATCGATTCGTGTCAATCATGGGAGTGCTACTAAATATATGATAGTAATCAAAATTCAATATGGTTAAAATTAGGCGCCATATTGTGACGAAGTAAAAAAAATAAGTTGACAAAATATGTCGAGTGGGGTATCACTGTCTAGATAATCAAAAATCATGTTTAGGTTCCTAACACCATTTTTCATTTTATATGATTGTTTAGGATCTACAACGCTTTAAAGTTGTATATTAACCACTTGCGCTTTTGATTTCAATCTTACGTTTGTATGGATCTTTGTTACTCTTTCACCTAAAAAATACTGAATGGATTTTAATGAAAGTTAACAGTAATATAGCTCATATATGATAATAACATATATATATATATATATATATAATAATTTATGTAGTTATTAAGTGAATTGACCAAAATATAACAATAAGTGTCACATAAGACGGAAAAAAATCTCCCATCTGCGAGCCTGCAAAAATAATAAAAGTTACATGAATGTAATGTAGAGTAGTAGTAGTGTAATGTATCTCATAAATAGTTTTAAAAAAAAAGTCCGTGACACCATATATCTATTTTAATGTGTAAGCCATTACCGCTTAAATAGTGAATCAAAACAAAATGCACATTTTGTATTAACAAATTATTTTTTATCAAAACAAATACTTTTATCGCTTTTGATATTTAAAAACGATAAACTTTGCCTTTTACAGTATGTCATTTCGACAAATATTTAAAAAGATACGACGATGACAAAGTGATAGCGTGGTGTATTATGTAGGAGTAGACTGTGGGAATACTAAGAGAAGAAATTTAATTGAGGTGTTTATAAACGTGGATAAAACCTAGGCGAAAAATAAAAAAATGGGCTACTCGCAGTATCTGATCCTATATGAAGTACTTACAATAAAACTGTTTCTTCTTATTAAATGATGAAAAATAAATTATCATAATAGGTATTTATGATTATTGAATATTAATGAAAAACTCAGAATTATACTGTTTTTATTTTTAATGATATTACTTAATGTTACAAAAAAGGTTTACTTAATATAATGACAAATAACCCATTTTTCGCTAGTAGGTACATACTTATTGCAATCCCTGTATTTATTAATCAGCTCGCGATAATATTGGTTTTGTAATTATAAACGATAATTCTGCAAAATTCAAAGTAAATAATATAGATTTTATAGGTAAATCACCCCTTTCATCACCCACGCCTATAAGTATTGCGATGTTGTAGCTAAGAACCAAGCTCCCATCTACGTCTATAGGTGAATTCATTATAATCGATTTAGCTATTAGGGCTTAACAGTTTTTGTTTAAATAACAATACGTTATTTGGTATTATTTTTTATACAAAAAAGAAATTTGGAAAATAATTGCCATGATTGCACTATTTGCAATACCTACTAGGCTGGTAGCAGCACGCTTGATAGGTGGAAGTACTCTTCATTCGAGTTTTACACTACCAATAAAAAAGGGTCGATCACAAAGTCTTTGACCTGTTATATGTGAACGCTTTAAAAGAAATATAACGTTATGAAAATTTTATTATGCGCCTTTAGTTTAATCAAATATTATAAACTTTGCTTTGGTGATTGCATAATTATTTAATTTTGCGATCTAAGGCAGTTGCCACCATTGTCCAAAACAACAGACGGGAATTACTGCTTTCTTCAACCTGCGACATAAACGCCATTGATTGGTATTGTATAAAGAGTGATTAACAACATTTGAAGTTAACTTCTGGCATCTACATATTGGGTTTCTGTGACTTATGTAGGTATATCAAATTATGAGACTAGGATATGACACTGCATTTGTGAATATCATAATCTTAGAGCGTCCGGCTCTCATGACAATGCAGCCACTGCCAATTTTAAATAGTCGACGAATAAAAGTAAATGAATTTTATATTTACCGCTTAACTACGAAAAATAACATAAACAAAAGATGACTTTTTGAATAAGTGCTAGTTTACTATAAAATTTACATACATTAGATATTTATGTAACGACTTGATTTAACTTCACATATTTTTGCGAAAATTGAGGCCCATCTGTAGCCTTGACCCCGCTGGTAAAGTCTCTATATGTCTTAATAAATCAATCTTTTAGACCACCGCAAGATACTTAGTAATTCCCGCGATACTAATTCCCTTACTGAAGTAACAAGACTACGGTATATACCATCTTAAAATACTATCTAACTAAAAACGGTGAAATAAAAAAGGTAAATTTTTAAAAATCAAAAAACCCGACTGCTTAATTATACTTCAAATAAAAACTGAAAAGAAAAAAACAAGTCCACAAAAAATAATTCTGTTAATAAGGAACAAAGCTACTTTAAGAGTCGGGACCCATTATATTAAAATTGTATTATGTATTCTTGAATATCTAATGGGTTTCATAAAAACAAAACCCACTTAAAAGTAAGTAGAATTTTATACATTTAAGCATATTCCTTGTTATTAATACACTAAGACTAAGCTTGGATAAGTTACTCCATGTTTTGTTTCTGCTTAATGAATGACATATAGTCTTAGTTAATTCCTTGTTGATTAATAAGGTGGTTGGAGTCGGCATCATGCTAATCTAAGCAGTACACGGTAACTCAGTTCTATCAAGATGCATAGCACCGACTCCAAATGTTTAAAATGTATATGCAGTAATTTTTTCACCCACCATAAGCTTATTTTGTTACAACCATTTCAAAACAATAATAGAGTACATTTTTGTCTAAATGTACGTATCCCTGGAAATAAACTTGTTATTTTCTGAACAACAGATTTTGCCGCCTTCCTGTGACATAATTTTGAAATTAAATTATTTTGTTTTGCCCATGGACTAAGGATTTCCCCATCAGTTTACCAACTGTTTTAAAAATGATTTCGAAATTCAAACTACTATTCCAATTTTAATTATAACATGATCTATTGCATTGAAAATAAATGTCAAATTTCAAATATCTTTGATCCATATTAACACAAGTTTCCTTGTTATTAGAAGGTCCTTAATAGTACAATTACGCATTTAGGTACTACAAAGAAAAACTTGTTTGTCATTTCTAAGCAAAATATAGGGCAAGTGGGTCAGGAATCAAGTGGTTCGATCGTACTTTAGATATATGTAAAGAATTGTGTTATTATTATTACTTACATTTCAGTGGGTTTTGTTACGCAGTCGGTTTGTTTTTATTATGGTTAAATTTTTTTTTTTATTTTTCTCTTATTATAAGCCTTATTAAATATAGGTGTCTGGCCTGCAATCTATATTTCGTAAAATAACCAAACACGATACGTAAACTGTTAGTATTTGAGGATTTTGGGGTTGTTTATCTCAGAAAGTATTTATCTGATCTCTACCAAATTTATATGGGACCATCTCGCCAAGATACTATTTCAAACAAAAAAAGAATCTTCAAATTCGGTCCACTAAGCTCTAAATATGCGCGAACAACAATAAAAAATATAATGACGAATTGAGAACTTCCTCTTTTTAAAGTCGGTTAAAAATGAGTCTACATTACAGATGTTTTGTAAAGACTAGGTTTATGGTGTTTGAGGGATTAAGGATATAGGACCAAGATAGTGAATCACAAATAGGGGATGACGTCTATCAATGCGGCTTATATAAGCATCATCAAAATCTCCTCCAAAGAAAAGAATCTGGCGCTCCCGGCCACTTACGATTTGCACAGTAAATTGAATCAAAATAAAGGCCAGTAACGAATGTTATTTATATTACTCCCCGACCCCCTCGCAGCCTGCCGCTCTTGGCCCTAGGGTAAATATTACTATCAAACACGCACATAGCTTGCATAAAAAAAATACTTGTGCCCACAACTTCTTGTATTACATAAATAATTAAATATGTTTCAGTTTTCGTACTAAACTATACTATGCTATGAAATATGATGTAGTTATATGTACACACTCCGACAAATATCTTGCATTAACCATAGACAACGAGTCTGCGCAGTAGCAATTTTACGTACAAAAACGTCTACTGCGCACGCTGATTGTTCATAGTTGTATTCAAAATCTTTAGCGCTGAGTACTAAGTATAATATTGTCTGATATCATTATTCATAACAAAAAACTACTTACTGTTTAATAACATCTGCAAATGGTCCATATTGATTGTCATTCATGACTCCCTGTAATGTTATGACTAATTAATTAAATATACTAAAAAAACCTGAGGAACCTTGAAGGGGGATAAAATATTAAGCAAATCTCCTATTGACCAATTAGTTAATAAAGTTATCAGAAAATCCTACAGAAACCAATACAGAAACCTAACATTTTTCCAGGATAAAAAGTATCCTATGTCTCAATCAACATCTTCAAATATCATATTAAACGAAATATTGGAAACCAAATAAAAATACTTGAAATCCTCAAATAATAACTCGCAATCAACTGACTTACCGCCCGCCCGCGACTTCGTCCGCATTAAATTTAGTTTTTTTAAGAATCCCTCATTCAGAGTAACATTAAAGTATTTACTTTGCGCATTTTTTATGATCTTACGTAAGAACAGTAAAAAGACTCCTTCCCACCCACTTGTAAGAAAAATAGCAGAAAATAGGAAAAAACCCGGTCAACTGCGAGTCGGATTCGCGTACCGAGGGTTCCGTACAAACCTGAATTTTCAAAAACATTTTTTATTATATGATGTAACAAAAAAATTACGGTTTCGCAATTTTTCCTTTTTTTACCAGGTAACTAGATAATGATAAAACGTGCGAGATTATCAATAGCACTTACCCAAGATGCTTTAAAGCTTATTTAAGGATATTTAGTTGGGATTTGGAAATAATACAGCTGGCCAAGTGCGTGACGGACCCGCGCACCGAGGATACGTTCCTGTAGGTATATTTTAATAATTATTAAAATCTATTTTTTATTATATGATGTAACAAAAAATTTAAGGTTTTCGCAATTTTTCCTTTATCTGTACTATAAGACATTACTTCGTACCAAATTTCAAGATTCTAAGTTCACGGGAAGTACCCTGTAGGTTTTGATTCCCGTGCGAGTTTCAAAAATTTGCGGCATAAACGGCTGTATCTTTTGATTGCTTTGGCTTAGAAGTTTGATTTTTTCACAGCTCCAGGGGACAGTAGACCTGAGTATTAGATATGATTTTTGCCATGCCGGGATTTAGGGACTTTGTGAGTGAAAAAAGCGGGATTCTTTCGTTGAAAGCGGGACAAAGTAAATAAAAACGTATATAATCAAAAGTTTTTTAATATTTATCTTTTTATTTGAGTTCAAATTACGTTTACGTGACAATAGATAGGTACCTAGTAAAAATATCCATAGAAAATGTATTTTAATAAAAATATGATATGTATTTTAAATCAGATTTACCCTATCGCTACTGCTGCCACTCCCTCCCTCCCACCCCCCCCCCCCCCCGCCCCCCCCCTCTGCGTACGCCCAAGTAAATATCCTTAAATAAGCCTTAAAGAACGATGGGAAAGTGCTATTGATAATCTCGCACCTTTTTTCATTATCTACTAACCTGGCAGGAGGGTGTGAAATATGCTACCGAAGTCTGCTCAGAAGTAGGTAACCAGGGTAATGATGCTGGAAAATATAATCTTGTAAAAGAAGGTTTCCATCTATCTATCTTTGTTTTTCAATAGACCTAAAGCTCATGACTATGATTTGATTTCAAAGTCAAATATCAAGTTCAATATTAAACGAAATATTCCAATATTTCGTTACAGAGTAAGAAAAAATGGAATTCTCAAATAATACCTAGCAATCAACTGAGACCTAGCCGTCTGTGTTAAAGATGCTGCTGCTAGCTTTATTATATTACTAATAATTAAAAAGCTAAATATTTGAATAAACTTACCAAGAATACTTGATAAGCCAGGTCCTTATCCTCAATGAGTGTTGTGTCTTTCATACATTTCTTAGTCATAGTTGAATCACTATAAACATTTTGTAATAATGATCTAGCAAAAAGAGCTGGACTTATTCCTTGAGATTCAGATAACCTGCAATTGAAAAATATATTTATTTTGTAAATATGTATTTGATAAATTAAATGCTTGTCCTCTTTGGAAATGTAAGGGTAAGGGCCACCCTGGCCTATAAAACTGGGGCCAGGTTCATAGTGTATTTTTCATGTTATTTTAATTTTATCATTATTGTTTTCAAATCCGATGAAATTTTATTAACTGAATAGCTCACAATATCTCTACTTAACTTATATTAAAGTTTTTTTATTTAATGTAATTAACAATCCACTAAAAATGGCATTTCTCCACTTAATAAACTACCAACCTGGTGAAAAAACAAGTGCGCTTATGACCACATCACTGAAGTGAAACTTCTTTAGCTCCATCTGTATGTTTATTTAAATAAACTAGCTGTCCCAGCGAAGTTCGTACCACCATAAAAAAATAGGGGTTGGTGGTATAAGTGTTAAAATTTAGGGTTGTATGTATTTTTGTAAGATGTATCACAAAAAAATAACAAAAATTTTGTCAAAATATATAAAATTCTCGTGTCACAGTATGTGTAATTGAACTGCTCTGAAACGGCTCGACCGATTTTTGTGAAATTTAATTTCAGTAGGTCTGAGAATCGGTTAAGATTATATAAATGACACATTTAAGACACACTGTGACACAAGACTTTTTTATATAATTAATGTGTGTACAATATAAACATGTATGTACATGTTAATTTACTAGCTATAAGAGAAAGAGTGTGTGAGAAAGTGAAAAAAAAGGTGAGAGCAAAAACTATAAATATATATTAATTACTAACCATAAAATTATATTATCCTTGTTCTTATCTTTCATGAGTTCTTCGTATAATTCATGGTATTTACTAGATATAACTGGAGATTTTCTATAGTTGAGTTTCATAGATCTTTGCACCAACAATGATATAATACTGCCCAAAGTACATGACGGCAGGCTAAATAAACAAAATGTAGTATCTAAATATATCTAGTACTGATTAAATAATATATGTTTTTTATTAACAAAAAATATTATTAAATTTATCATTATTGCCTTCCAACAGAAAAGTCCTCAGTACAATGTACATACCTTTTATATTTATTTTTGAGTTCATTTTCTGTTTTACGAGTATACGATGATAGATTATTGAAATCTTCAACGATGTCATTATAGATGTCTAATTTTAATGGTTTTATCTCTTGCATAATTATAAAAATATTATATACCTACTTAAGCATAAATTTTTAAAGTATTTTTTAGTTACAAAAATGTAAATAGAAGAAAAGAATTTGTTTACAGTGCGACCACCACAGAGTGCGACACAACACAAAGAGTTAGGCATGCGTTAGGCATGCGTCCGATATATCAAAACGAATCCAAAATCCGATTTCAAACACAAATCGATACCGAACGATTTCTCAACAAGAAAATCCGATTTCAGAAATCTAACCGAACCAAAACGCTAGCGATCTAATACCACAAGTATCCAAATGTAAATCGGATTCGAAATTCGTGCTTTCGTTTTCAGAAGTCAGATTTCGTGCTCGGAAGTCCGATTTCGATTTGCTGTTTACGGAAATCTATTGCTCTTCTCTGAGGCGGGATTATTTATCACTGAAAAGATATGTCGTCTAAAAACATCAAAAGTCGAGCAACTTACATTTTTGGACGCTAACCTGAAGTAATTAGGTTTGATTTTGTAAATGGTTTGAAAAATAATAAAAACAAACAGAAAAACAAAAAAAAAATACTAAAAAAATATGTAAAAAGAAATCATTGTATAAAAGCCGATTTTTAAATGCGCCGCAAAAGTTTTACTCTTAACCGTAAACATAACTTTTCTGCTAGTCCTAAGCCTAGATTTAAAGCATGAAGGAAAATCGCGAAAATCTACGAGTATCTTTGCTTTCTACAATTAATTGTTTGTGATTGTCGTTAGCTAATAAAACCAAATCTTAACACAAACTAGTGAATTGGCTTAGTTAGGCACATCTGAAATCGGATATCTAAAAAAGGATATTGAAATCGATTTTGAAATCTGAAATCCGATATATATCCGTTTGCGTTCAAAACCAAAAACGCCCATGTCTACAAAGAGTAAAGTAAGCACAGACTATTTAGATACTACAAAGTAGAAGTACAGTTTGTCTTTAAAGTCGTGACATGGATGTTTGAGGAACTAATATTATTCATGTGTCTGGCAACACCAAACTTATGTACATCAGTGGGTCAATTATGCTTCAGTAATAAAATTCTAATGTGATGTCAATATGATGTTGATGCCAAGTTGACATTGTTTTTATATGGTGTTATGAAACATTCCTATGTCACATCAAGATCATATCAATATCATATCCTGTATCACATTTTTGACGTTTATGCGATACTATTTTAAGTCAAAAAGTTGAATGTAATACGCATTTAAGTTGATATCATTTTATAGAGTTGATCATCATCATAGCATAAGTTGATGTCATTTTGATATCGCATTTTTCGGAGAGCATAATACGTAATGTGAAATAGACATCAAAACAATATCACAATTAGTGAGCATAATTGGCCTGCAGCTGTCATCGAGTTTCAGTTGTGGAACAGTTTTCCTTAAACTGCTAAGATTAAACTGCTAAGATGCCAGAGACTAAGCTTCCTGGGGAAACGCAACTTACAACAGAACAAGCTAATAAGTCGCGACTTGTTACCATTTGCCGATGGGTCGTAGAAGTCGTAAATGGCCGATTTAAAAGAGATTTTCGGCTGCTAAGACATGTCCATATATATCAATATAACACTGCACAATATGATGGATTATTTTAGAATTGCTGCCGCATTAATAAATGCCTATCACGTTTTGATAGTGGATAACGTTCATGCTACTGATATCCTTCAAATAATAGGTGAAAGAATAAACATGCCCAATACACTGGGAGATCTTGTGAATAGACACAATTTAAACCGAAGGCGAGCACAGTTCCAACCGATGGCTGCGGATATGGCAGATTTCAATGATTTTCCAACATTGACAGAAGAAGATTTAATATTATTCAGCCTTGGTGTATATCAGCTCAAACAAGCAAAAAGCTACTACGGAGAGCACCTTCAATCCGACGGAGCTTTTATCATCGAGCTCGGTGGTGGGATTCCTCTGGAAATAGTCAGGGAACTTGAAGGGGAAGACTTGTGGATTATAAGAGGACGCATACAATCCCGCCACATTCAAGCAAAAAAATACTACGTATATATTGCACTCGATCGGGCAGCAAATGGTCGTCGAGCATTATCTCATTATCATTGTACATGCAATATTGGATGCTGCTCTCATACGATGACCATAGTCTGGTACATGGGTTATGCTAGACATGACCCATACCTCACCCCACCTGCAATAGCATTAGATGATGTTTATGTTAGATTAGGACAAATATAAATGAATTAATACTAATAATTAATATTAATACTAATTGAATGTTGTTTCATTTTGCTCTTTATGATAGGTACTGAATCTAAATGAGGAGCTGGTGGTATTGTTGCTTTTTTTTCATATTTAATATACTTGACCAAATGTATTAAAACAACACATCTTAACAACATTTTATTTCACATTGTATTTTAAAACCATGTAACAACACAACCATAGGGCGCACAGGTTTGGTGTCATAGTAAAAAATAATAGGAAATTTGTTGTTTGTGATCTATCCGAATATTACGCTTTTTTTTCTGGCCGGCACTTTCAGATTTGGCCCAAAAATGTATGGAACGTGAATGATGTCCTTTCGCCAAGAATTACCGTATATGTCAATATTTTTTGTACGTTGGGCCAATTTGAGCAATGGGACCGATTCTGGAGTTACATTCTCTAAACCTAAACTTAAAATTAGAGAGCTAATTTTAGTTTAGGTTTAGAGAATTGGTATTCTGAAATTGCGAACTAACTAAAATAAGAACACAGTTGACAGCTGTAAACGAGCATGTAAATTGAATTCACAGATTATGTAAAAGCATTGAACCGGTAATTATCGGTTTACTCAAATTAGCAAAATTAATTATTATCCAGTGATTTTGACTTATTTTAGTAATTCATTGTTGTTCTTCATAATCTTTCAAATATGGAAACTTAACATAAGTTTGTTATTTTACTGTATGACAAATTATGAATCCATATTATAGAGTGAATACTTACCTACTCTGTGGTACTTAGGGTTTCTAGATTTTGAGTGTTTATCCTTATTTTGGGGAAAAATAAATACTTGGAGTAATAAATCTGCGGGCAGAACTATAATATTTTTGAATAATCATATTTTCCTTAGAAAATGCCAAGTATTTGTTTTGGCAAAACGATGGGGAAATCTATCACTTTTAAAATTAAATTAATATATAATTACCAACTAGATTTTGGTACCTTACAAATCTATTAAGAATGATCAGTGACGATGGATCGTGTCGAGTCCTGAGGCGAGCTTCAGCCGTAGCATGGTCACCGAGCCGATCTGTAATTTACAAAGTGTCTCGTCCGAGCAAAAACGTTTATTGTTTTGTCTGAGGTATCACTACGATTGACCGGCGGCACCGCGCCGGCGCTGTATTCCCGCAGCGGGCTGTGGCCGAGCCGAGTCGGGACCAAATTTTTCCGAGCGTTGTTTCATTTGTTGCTCGGTTATCAGTCGGTTACCGCCTGGTATAGTGTGAATGTTTCCATAATCCATGTAAAATAAATTATTTAATATAAGTTAACTAGAGGAGTTCGATGGCGCAGACGATTAGCTCGTTCGGCTGCGATCGTTGAAGTTAAGCAACTTTCGCAGTGGTCGGTCATTGGATGGGTGACCAAAAATCGTCTATCTCGACTTCCTCAGTGCTTCGGAAGGCACGTTAAGCCGTTGGTCCCGGCTGCATCTGCAGTCGTTAGCACCCGCCAATCCGCACTGGGCCTGCGTGGTGGGTCATGGCCCAATCTCCCTATTTCATCCTGTGCCCCAGCAACGGGGATATTAATAGGCTGATGATGATGATGATGATTAGTTAACTCTGCTACCGCCTACACGGTCTAATGTGAATCATCCTTGAAAATTTCTCGCATCGTGAATAGGGAAGATGCATATATAATATTTATGAAAATTTTATGATTAAAATGTTAAAAAAATATAAAAGAAATGCCACTGCTACGTTTTTATGTTACATAATGTTGTTTTTTAACAATTTTTACGAATTAAAAATACTTGAAACGGAACGTATTTTAAAACACCAATCAGCGTTTAGTGACGTCACTCCTGTTATGACAACTTCTTTGAGGTTATGGTTGTTAAAGTAAATATTATTTTATGGGAATATTTATTGCGTTTTTTTACATTTAATAAAAATGGAAGTTGCGTTTATCAAAGCAGACTCCAGGAATTTACCAAGAGTTAGCGTTGACATGGTTATAACTTTTTTGTCCAAAGTGCAGAGTTTTTAAGTGTAGAAATGAAAGGGACTAAATTACTACGGTATGTAAAAATCGTAGTTGTTAAACTTCGTATTTTATTTAGCGGCTTCTACAATTCTTACGGCGATAATGCAATCGGCTATGTCCAAATTAAAAGAGATGGAAAATTATGTACAGTAAAAGGTCGAGTTCTCCGGAGCATAAAGTACGTAAAGAAGGTTATCGTGTTACAGTTATTTTAAATGAAACGCAAAGCTTGGTTCAGTCCTGCCGCCTGCCAATGTGAAGATTGTGCCACACATTTTAAACTTTATCTAATTTTCGACGTCATTCTCCAACTGTAAAATTAAAAATATGTTATAGACAGGTTTTGTAAGTATTAGGTAGGATACTAATGCGTTTTTACGTACAAGCAGATTAATTAAGCATATAACAAGTATATTCGCCGACTTACGTTAAGGGATCTTCTCAGCATCGAATAATGGTCTTTGGAGAATAATTGTCATTTCTCTTCGCAGCTTGAAACCACTTTTTTTCAGTTTTGGGTCAGCAGTTCCAGTCAAAAACAATTTATTTGGGAACTTTGTTGAAGTAGATTGGCACAAAACATGAGTCAACACGGCTTTTTTCGAAATATTAGTGGTATTGTTATGATCACATGATGTTGATGGATAGTCCATTTTAAATTTTTCAAAAAAATATTTCGAAATTCGTGTGTGAAAAAATAAGAAAAAATGCAATGCATAAAAAATGCAAAAGTATGAAAATTTAAAGCCAGCAACGAACAAATACAACCTGTGACAGACAGGAGTGACATCATCGCAAACATAGGTTCGTTTTCGTGCGAAAATTTAAATTGTCAATTTAAAACCGCATTTTTTCCGATAAATCATAATGTCTTAAATTTTTAATATATCTGTGGTTTATTCTACATGGAATTCTTTGAAATGAAAACAAAAATAAAAATATTGCATCTTCCCTATTCCCAATCCAGCGCATCTATCTAATACCTACTCGTAGGTACCTACGTTTATAAATTTCGGTTTCGGTAAGAGGTTGTAATTATCCCCTCGGCTGTTTTGTGAATATTTTATTCTCATTTATAGTATAATCCGCGATGCGTAACCTATTTTTATTTTTGAAGTTATACTTCTTTAGCCGCGTTATGAAAAAATTATGAGAGTGAAATTTTCATCACTGTAACACAAAATTTTAACATAATGAAGTTAGCCGCGGGCGCGTTATTTGTAATATTTTATTTTCCAAGTGACCGTGGGGCAGATTTGAACAAAGCAAACAGGGCAGATTTGAACGGGACATTGAAATGAAATGAAATGAAATGAAACGAAATGAAACGAAATGAAACGAAATGAATCGAAATGAAACGAAATGAAACGGAATGAAACGAAATGAAACGAAATGAAACGAAATGAAACGCAATGAAACGAAATTAAACGAAATTAAACGAAATGAAACGAAATGAAACGAAATGAAACGAAATGAAACGAAATGAAACGAAATGAAACGAAATTAAACGAAATTAAACGAAATTAAACGAAATTAAACGAAATGAAATGACATTTATTATTAATTTATTGTAATTCATTATTTGCATGCAATTAAAAACTAATTTTAAACGATGCCAAAGAAGGATAACTTCTCACGCGCCTACATAAGTACACGCACCCATTTTTTTTTTGTTTCTGTCAGTTTTTGGCGAGATCGTTCCAAATCCCAATTATTCATTTGGTGAAGATACCAAGTTTCGGATCTTTAAAAACAAACTTTTCAATTACAAACAGTAGGTACTTATTTCGTGTTTGGTTATTTTATAGAAATATGATTAGCTTATAAAAAGTTGGAAGTAAAAACATTTCTAACAAATATTAAAAACTGCTTCATAGAAACAACCACTAAAAACAAAGGAACAAATAATACATTAATGTCTAAAGTACCTACATTTAAAGTCAGAATAACATTTGGATTAGAATGCATATCACTGACACAATACCTATTATCTTGTTAATTATTGTTTGACTTTGTACTTCAGATATAAGTAGGATCTGTAGGTATTACTTATAGAATTAGTAGGTACATAGATTTCTTACCTTTTAGCTTGTTTTTATATGAAGTGGATTTTTATTTATGTTATAAAAGATTTTACCTTAAATTATTTAGTATTTTATACAAGATATACGTGTACATTACCTACGAAAGACCACAATAGCGCAAGTGTAACGCTTTCGTTCTGCGATCGTGAATGTTAAGCAATTTTCACAATAGCTGAGTTTAGGATGGATAATCAACCCAAAATGTATTTATTATATCGAGTTCCTATGTTGCTGCTCGCTGCATCTGCAGTCGTTAGCCCTCACTAAGCCGCATTAGGCCATGACACATTAATAGGCTTTTAATAAATCCGCATCGAAACATAGACTTACCTACCTTTTAAAAAAAAATAAAAGATCTAGCTAATATATTATTATCTCCGTCGTCGTTCATTATTGCATAAAATTTATGTCTTTTTTTAACGAAATAAACCCATGTCCAACCTTAACATTAAGTTCAAAACAGCAATCATTTACGTGATATTTGGCCTCAATTATTCACATTTAAATTTAGAGAGGACCTGCGTAGCTCCTTCTTAAATTTAGTGTGACATTTGTAATTTTAGAGAAAATATGACATTTAGAACGCGTTTCAGAATACCATTTAATCATCTAAATCTAAGTTGAATAACTTAGCGACGTCAATTTTAAATTTAGAGATTGTGTCATTACAGAATACCAAATTGAATTTGACAACTCTATATCTAATTTTAGTTAGTTTTAGATATAAGTTGGCACGCCAGAATTGGGCCCAATCTCCTTTTCGCGTTGGTTGCAGGTGATCAACTCAAGATGGCAAAGTTAAGCTTTCATTGACTGGACTATAAGTATACATCATGAATAAGCGGTTTTAATAAGCGAACCCAGAAATCTATAGTATAGTACATTCACTAGATGCTAAGTTTAAGTAGGCTTGTTGAAAATGCATTGATATTTTTTGTTCGATATATGTATTGATATTTTTAGCCGATATATTTTGGTTCGATATATCGATACATCGATACAAAATAACCAATATCGAAATTCGTATCAAAAATGATATTTATTAATTATTAGTTATAATATTTTTAATATTAATAATTAAAAATATTATAACTAAATTCGTATCTGGAAAAATCGTAACTGGATCTCAGATTAATGATATTCAACATATTTATGATCTGTGCTGTATTAAGTATTGTCTATGATTTGTAAATCTATTTCGCTGGTGAATTGGTTGTGCTGAATTCCATTATATTCTGTGGAAGTGTGTGACTGTCTAGTGTGGTTTACTAAAGATGGCACCTGAGAGGCCCTGCAATCATTTTCATCATTCGAAAATAGGGTCTATTTTTAGGGAGATAAATTTCGTTCCATTATTATTCCGCGTATCATCTTTCGTGAGATACTGTACTGTCATGTAGTGTAGCGGCAATTTGGTACTTTGATAATTTTTTCTTTAATTAAAATTTGTATAGTTATTATTACTTTGCTTGGCTGACCTAAATATATTTTTTGGAAAATAGGTCCGATATATCGATGTTTTTTTCGCGATATATCGTACCAGATATAGATATTTTTTTAAATATCGCTGTATCGATATTCTTTTCAACTTTCGACATCCCTAAGTTTAAGTTTACAATGCGTGCGAAGATATTTATTCTGTAATGGATGCTATTGTTTTTAAATAAATAATATGTAGTAAATATTCTATTTTAAATAAATATTTTACATGTTGGGGGTTTACTTCTTTAAAAACGTGTGTTTTCAGGGGATTTCGGGTGTTTGGGGGGGAATGCGAAATGAATGGCTTGCTGGTAACACTGGGATCCAGTTATGTTAGCTATGCGCGACTACGAATGATTTTACCTTTCGACTTATTCGCAACTATTAATTTGGCTATTCGAAAGGCAAACTAGTTGTATACTAATGTCATTTTAAGAATAACGACTACGAATTAGTAATACTAATGTCAAATTTATAAGAGCGCAACGAATAAGGTTAGATTATTCATTCGTTCGTTCATCATTTGCCTTAGTTCTGTTAGTTTGGTTTCCGTCCGTACGTTCGTACTTGGCACCTGCTAGGATAGTCTTGTATCTGTAATTAATTATTTTTTTTTAGTGAAAACTATATTTATCAGTGAATTTGTTTATTATTACTTGATTTATATACATTTTTAAAATTAAAGAGTTCATTTAACGATCTTATCATTAAAATACGATTGAAAGTAGTACCCTGTTAACTGTGCTCGTCTCTTTCACTCATCGAGTGTGCCCGACTAAGCCCGAGTCGACCCGGTTTGTTCGTCTTCGTCACGTACGTCAGTCGAGAGTCGGTTAGTCGCCGCCCGATACCTTCGACTCCAGTCGAATGATATAAAGCGCAGTCGACTTGAATGATTAGTATTAGTATTATTCGAAGTCGCGCATCGCTAAGTTATGTGAGTAATCTGTGCAGTGGGTCCAGTGGTCTGTTTGTTTGTGGTGTGGATATTTGCAAATTTAGTGAAATAAATTCATATAGTTTCAACACCATAACAAAATGATGCCTAGTAGAATTGGAAATATGCCACTGGCTGCTGAAAATCCTTTAGGTCTTTCATGGCATGACTCTGCTTGGATACCCATATTAAATCCGTCAAATATAATGGATTATTTTTCTGAAAGATCTAATCCGTTTTTCGATCGTACATGCAATAATGAAGTCGTAAAAATGCAACGTTTAAGTATGGACCAATTGCAGTAAGTTAACACAAATTTTACAAGTTTTTGTAGAAAAAAAAATTGTGTAGGGTCATTCCATGTAACGGAAGATACAGGTTCGTTTACATTTTTAGTTAATAAAGTGGTTATCATAAAAGAAAACATTTCAAAGTATCGCCTACTCCAGAGGGCCTGGGTTCGAATTCCGGTGTAGCACATGTTAATATGATGAATAATACGAGCACCTAAGTCTTGGATGGATGTTAAATTTGTTCCTTGATAATTATAGAATATATTTCTCTCCGTTACACTAGTATCCCAGAACACAAGCTCTTAATTTGGGGTTGGTTGAATTGGTGTGATTGATAGAAAGATTTTATGTACTATTTCATTGGGCAATGTTGTCTTTACTTGCATTTTTTTTATTTTTTCCTTATTTATATATTCCTCTGTGAGTTTATGTGACACCCTCAATTACCAATAGGCTTTGTCAGCAATTTTAATAACAAAAATATTCCTAAAGTATTATATTATCTTACTAATTTGTAACCAACGAAAAAAACAGCAGAAGTATTGAAGTAAATGTGTATATTTATATATTTTTTATATATGTATGCCCACTCATAACTTTTTACAGAGAAGTTTTATTTTGATATTTCTTTTTTTATTAGAAGGGGTATACGCCGATATTGGTCCCATTTGAATTTCAAACAAAGCAACCAAGGAGATACATCAAAGTTGATCTCACATGAAATTGGGGAAAAAAACTACCCTAAGGGTGGGAAAATTATAGCCACAACAATTTTAAAAACTTTTTAACAAAAGAATTAAACTGTGTAACAGAAAAAATAATAAACCTTTATTTATATTTATTCAAATGAATATTTGGAGTCAGTGCCATGTACGTCTGATAGAAAAATATACGTGTCGACTTGAGAACCTACGTTTTGTTCGAGAACCTAGATAAGTTCTCAAGTGGCGATCGCGTATTGGGGCAGATACCCAACGACCACCAATACTTCAAACGACTTGTTGTTCGCATTGCCATTTAAGTTCGGTTTCGTTTTCTATGTATCTCCTTATTTTATGCCATCTCACAGTGACCCCACACATGCTTAATTTTGGTATAAAAATAAGTCATCATTTGTAAGTGACCCATGTCTCAGTGCTAGTCATAGGTACTGTAGCAACACACACAGGTCAAAAAAGATTTTTTGCCTGGTGGTCTTGAGATACTGCGATTATTCAACAAGAAATGTTTTGTAGTTTATACCTTAATGAATTTGGTGATCTCTTTGCATGGCTTTCTTCATCGGTTGCTGTGTGACTTTGAGGCTTCTTATGAAGCCCAAAGTCAACAACCTCATTGGCAACATGCACTGATAGAAGACCTTGTCTTCAGACACTGAAGTTTTTCGGACGAAAAGACATCGCAAACGCTGTCTCCGATAGCTTAGTTGAATTCAGAGGCAGCGGTTTTCCACGTTCTCGGAAATGGTATTTATCTATATATATAAAACTCAAAGGTGACTGACTGACATAGTCAAACCACTGGACGGATCGGGCTGAAATTTGGCATGCAGGTAGATGTTATGACGTAGGCATTCGCTAAGAAAGGATTTTGATAAATTCTACCCCCAAGGGGATAAAATAGGAAAAGAAAGTTTGTCTGAAACTTTGACAATTTTTAACCGATCGAGCTGAGACTTTGCATGCAGGTATAAGAAGAATCATAGATGAATGTCTTTGTGTATAATACAAGCTTGAGAACAAAAACTGTAGTCTACACTTCAGCTCTACACCGAAGCGAAGCGAGGACGGGCCGCTAGTGTTCTATACAATCCACCATTCTCAACAGGGACTATAGAGTTGGAAAATTATGTTCGTCTTACTCTTGATCTTTTTAAGGGTCTACTTAAGAAAGGTGCCCTGGTGTGTTGAGAGATTATGCTGATGTTGTTGAGCATTCTGTTGTGATACTCCAAAGTTTCGGCCATAATGACTATATCATTGGCAAATAGAGAAGGTTTGTGGAGGATGTAGGATTTAGCGTTAGTGATAGTCGATCTATATGGTAAAGATAATAGGTATTGCCAAAGTTTCCACCGAATCGAAGGTTTGCCCATAGTCTACAAAAGATAAAGTAGCAGGTTATATACCCCCTTTTTGTATAACCTGCCGCATTGTGTGTGTGAATTTGGCTTATTCTGTTGGCTGGAAGCCATTGAGATGATTGATAATGGCTCTCGAAACCAAATTTTAGATGGCTCAGTAGATTTATATGGAAATATATAACATCCACATAATCATGTTTAAAATATTTGTATCTAAGAATACGAAAAAATTAAACCAATGGCGAAAAAACACCGAAATAGCACATGGCGTTTTTCAGCATGCTGTCGATCACATTATGAACTTTACAGCGTCACCAGGATAGCAAGATCCTTAGGGAACCTCAAGAAGAGAAATGTCTCAGTTAGTGGTATTCTAGGCGGATGGCATGATGGCAGCATAGCCACTAGACTACTCGAGCCGGCTCAAGTGAACGGCGTCTCTAATGCGCTTACCACACGCACAAGCTTCACCACAGTTTGGCCTGCGCAAGCATCTCGCACGAAAAAACTGTACACTTTGTGCGTTACCACACGGCACAGTTAAGTACGCGCAAGCCTCATTCTTATCGAAATCATTGGCGTGGAAACAATGTTTCTCTAATGAAGAAACATTTCTTATGCTACTATTTTTCAAGTGTTTGCTATTAAAAAGAACATATAAAAACGATAGGATATGTACATAATATGTGCAAGTAGTTGGTAGTAGGTATTAGGCATAGTTATTTAATTGCAAAAATTATGTTCTTACCTCTTTCATTTTATTTATCATTCTTTCGTAAGTGTCGTTCTTTTTATTTCGGTCGGAATAATCTTTAGATTTAATTTTCCAGAGTGTAGGCAGAGATTTGTATAAACTAATTAATTCAGACGTGAATTCGCGATTGTACGTACGCAAATCTGCCATTTTTGGGTGACGATGACGAACGACCTCATGAAACGACGAGCGAGCCTCGACTCAAAATACACTGTGGCTTGAACACTGAACGCCCAACCACACGCACAGACAAGTACGCGCAGGCCGGGCTTGCGCAGGCAAAATTTCAAGCAAGTCGAAAACTGCGCAGGCCGCGCTGTGGGGTTGGCGCGTGATACAGTTTTACCAACTACACGCACCGTGTTCCGTGTACAAACCGGCCTGCGCAGGCAAAACTGTGGTGAAGCTTGTGCGTGTGGTAGGCCCATAAGACTCGGATTTCACCTCTAGCCGTTATCCTGGAGGAAAGGGAATACCGCCCAGGGCGCGCCCGCCCTTTTTAAGCTTGACTTATACGGTTTCCTGTATAGGAACCCCGATTCGGAAAACTGAATGCACGTCCTTACACACAAAATGTTCAACGAGGAGCACACTATTGTTTTTTTAAGAATGGTTAAAATACTAACGTTCTGTTCGAACCTTAACTAATAAAAAAAACCCCCAAAAATGTCTGCGCTAGGCGCAAGGAATTCCGGATCCGGAAACTGAACGTGTGCGCCCAGTCCAAACCTTCGATATCGTAATATCGGGTTCGAGTCCCGTCTGCTGCCTGGTCCGTGTGGAATTTTTTCTAGTAATATTTTCTTTAGATTTTAATATCGTAAGATTTTTTTTAATCGGTGATCGATGTTTTTATTTAATATATTTGTTCCAGGAACATGACTGGTTTGGAATACATACTTTTGCATGTTCAAGATCCAATCCTTTACGTTATTCGTAAACAACTCCGACACAGTTCCACTCAAGCAACACCCTTGGCAGATTATTATATAATTGCTGGGATTGTGTATCAAGCACCAGATTTAGCCAGTGTACTGAACTCAAGACTGGTAATAAATATTAGTATTTCAGTTATTATCATCATTGTACCAAAAAAAATCCGTAGACCAAATCATATCAAAGTTTTACCTTTATATAAGAAGTTTTGTTATAACTCGCACCAAAAGACATGATGATAACGCTCTGCCTACCTTACACTCTTTGAAAATTCTGAACTCTTACTATTTGAGAAACAGTTTTATAACACTTTCATCATCATCTACACCAGCGAATTCTACTTTAACCTGTAAAATAGACTTTGACCTACTTACAAATAATTTATTTTTCAGCTATCTGCTGTTCACCATTTACAATGTTCTTTTGAAGAAACTATGTCATATTCAAGATATCATCCCAGTAAAGGATATTGGTGGGACTTTAAAGCAACTAAACCTGGTAATTATGTATTAGTATTACTTATATGATGTGTTACTGATCTAATCCCTAGGGACTAATAGTGAATTAAATTATGACTGTGCATATTGTTAGTAAAAGTGATTTATTAGCCGTTCGTCCAATTGGTTTTTAAATCCTCATTCCCTCCAGGATTTATTTTGTCCAACTCGCCTTTCATCCAAGATATATTTTGTCCAACTGGCATTTCGTCCAATATGTGGGTATAACGTCAACACGTATCTGGTATTGATTTAGAAATATGCTGAAAATATACTACTTCTACTTTATACAGTTCTTTTGTTGCATTATTTAGAAACCAGGAACTTTACGATATTTTTGAAAAAAGAACCATAACCAGGCAAATTTTTTGATAACGGCCTTTAATTGTAATTATAAGAGGCTATATTTTTACCAAATATCAAAACATCGTACCAATTGTTTATAGTCTGCTCCCGGACAAAAACGAAGAAACATTATCGAAGATTATATACCGTATTAAAGGAAGACTATTTCGAAAAACAGTGGGGACCATTTTCAGAATTCTAGTGTAGCAGGTAAAAACCGCCGCATCACTAATGCCATGCCATGCCATCAATGAAGGGTGGCACAATCGGTTAAAAAAAAACCTTAAAGCCAACTTGCTGTTATTGGTTAAACCTAAAGAAAGAAGGCCGACACTACGTACGACACATTTATGAGAAAAAAAATACCGATGAGTAAAAACGAAAAGAACGGGCCATAATCTTTAACTGATTTTTGAAGAAAGAGCTAAAATAACTTAGGAAATGTGAATTGAGTACCATAGAGTTTCTTCGCCAAGTCATTCGTGCAATACTTTTCTAACAAATATAAATATTTTTTAATATATACATAAGTTTTATGTTATTCCAGCATGCCGTGCCTTGTGATACGTTTACTACGGTTTGTATGAAACATCGACCATGCTGGAGACTATTAAGATTTAGTACTTACTAGGTTAACATGTTTTACTTTGTTTTGTGGTTAAACTTTTCAGTTTTTATATAATTAAATATTCGGCTAATCATTACATTTTATTAATACCGACCTATTTTTTTTCTTAATTTTCAACTAAAACTTGCGTCAAGTCATAAGTAACGCATTACATTTCTCTCACTAGGAATAAGTAAGTCGTATTGTACTGGACACTTAAACGGATATATCCGTCGTTGGCGTATATATCCGTTTAAGTGTCCAAGAAGAGTATTCAGATTTTCCGTTTCCAAATTAGCACCTAATAGACGAACTGCGTATTGGATGAACGGCTAATAAATCGTAAAAGTTATAATCACCAAAGAGGTCAATCGTGAACATGTTATAGGCTTCATTAGAAAAAAAATAGAAAAGTCTTTGAAGGGTTTGAAGGAAAAATTAAAAAAACTCGTCAGTGAGAATGAAAGTATCTATTATGTTAACTCCCGTCAACATTATCGGACGCTAAAAATTTTAGTTGCGTTTACTTATTTTCTCGAAGAGGGTGATAAAAAGTAGTGTCCACCTAGGGAGCAACTTTATTTTAACCCTTTAACTGGCAAGCACATTTTTTGTTTCTTTTTTTGGTTTTTATGTATTAAGGTGATAACAAAGAACACAGGAGCAATAATATAAACAGTCTTTGCTTTTCACTGTTTTCTTAATCAATCGTATCTCTTAATGCACATTGCCCTGCAAGCAACAATCAACGTATAAAAATGAATGTATCTTTAAGGACACATCTCTAGGTTCTCCTTTAATTTGTTTATTGGTTTTTGTTTGTTGACTTTATCGCAGAAAAAGGAATAATCTAGTTAATTTGTAATATTTACGACTGTAAATCATAAAACGATATGTGTATCATGATCTCAATAAAGATTTGTTTGTTTTTCTGGTCCATTTAATGCTGCAGCAACAAAATCGGGCACGCAAACTTCTGGCTCTTGTTCCAAAAACCTTATTTAGATTGGATTCAAGTAGCTGTCATCAAGCTCATTCAGATTGTATTTCTCCACCACCTGCTGTTGATGACGGTAAAGATTCTTGCAAGCTACTGAGACTGCTTCCCCATTGCAAAGATCACCTCCTCCATTAAGTGAGACAGTGATGTCGATTCTGGCATGAAATCTGGCTCTAAAGCTAAACTTAAATTTGGCAACAGTGCATTCTTGTCATTCTCTATACAGAATGAAAAGGAGAGACTGATGTTAAATTTAGTTTTAAGTTGAGAGAATCACGCCAGAATCGACACCAATACCTGTACATTCACCTGCAACAGCTATACTTGCTCTCAAAGACAAAAAGTAATCGTTACCAAAAAGAAGGCAGTAGTGAAACATAAAACCATTAGAAATGAATTGACGCTATCAAAATTTTATGCAATATAGTCAAACGAAAATCATAAAATAAATATAAGGAGAACCTAGCGATGTGTCCCTATAGATACAAAATTGATTGATGATTATGTATCCGGCAACGGACATTACATTCGGATAATTGGCATCGCACTGAGTATAATAAATAAAGTTTTGGAATATAAAAACAGCAATATTAACAAGGAGGCATTTTTACTCTCCATATAACTACTAGTAATCACCATTATTTAATAAAAGTATCTGGAATCGATAAAATTTACTTGCTGGTGCGTAAATAAATGCCTGCCGATGGTTCGCCTTTCTGCGTGCTACTGTAAAATCTGTGTTTCCAGTACTGAATCTTTACTGCGTTACACAATCTGTAGTATTGTGGCTAACGTTTTATTAAAAAAGAACATGTAATAAGTTTTTGGTTTCTCTCCAATATTTTTGCATTGGGCAGCGTATCTTTAAATGCACATTACCAAGAAAAGGGTTAAAGCTCGTACGACGTACTTTGAATCCTAAGCACACCATAGGATTCTACTTAAGAATGCTACAAAAACGCTCTCGCCTTTAAAATAGTTATTTGCTCTCTTAGTAATCTTCTATTTAAGTTGGATGAAAACTTTCTTTGTTGTTGAAGACGATTTAATTTTAAGTAAAGTTATTAGGATAATGAATTTATTATGACAGTGATATTAGGATAACAATAATATACCACAGTCAAACGAAGCATCAAATATAAACCATTATAAAATCAATATCTCAAAAACAGACCATGTGACTCAATTCAATTTTGTTTTAGGTCTCAGTTCATTTCAAACGACTCAATCAGCACCTAAAGAGGCAACAAGTACTCCAAAAGAAGAGCCTTCCACATTATTTCAACGTCAGAGAGTGGACATGTTATTGGCTGAATTAGTGCGACAATTCCCTCTTCCAGTAGCACAAACAACTTCTAATCAGGTACCAAGTTTCACATAAATGCTAGCTTAATTGCCTCAAATTCGGAGATGTCTATTTTCAATGCTTGCTAAAGCGAAGAGTTGTTCGTCCTTATTCTTTTAACTCCTAAGCAACAATATTTTAATTTTAAAAGATAATAAGTAAAAATCTTTTCAGATTAATGGAGTGACTATTAAAACTGAAAACACTACTGAAAAGGGTGTTGAAAAACCTACAGAAGCCAATTCTGTAGGAAATATCACTATCAAGCAGGAACCAGTTGATTCAAACAATCCTGAAAATTTAAATGGGAACATGCCAAGCCATATAGAAATCAAGACAGAAATCAAACAAGAAAATATGAAACCACCACCTGAAAAGAAACACAGAGTGATATAATAGGGATGAGTGATAGGTATAGGTATAAAGATTAACAAGCACCAAAATACTTAGTAATTATTTATTTATTTTACCTAATCATTATTTGCATTCCGGCTAGTAAAATTTTTGTTAATAATTGTCATTTGTATCATTCCTTCTTCCTAAGATATTCTCTATTTTTTTCTTCCTGTGCATTAATTAAACTGTCAATTAGCTCTTCTGAATTTTTGTTAATGCACAATTGACAGTTTATTTTCCGTGTATCACTTAATGTATTAAAATTTTCTTGAGTTTGCCCTGGACAACTGAAAAAATATATAATACTATTAGTGCCAATTTACACTGGAATGGCAGCGGCCGGCATGACGTGACGTGGCGAGCACTTGCTGTGTGAAATAAGACAACAACAAAGATATAGAACAAGACTTATAAATAACCTTTGGAGCTGGGGTCATGGTCACAGGTGTTATTTCGTCTCGAAATGTTTTGGGTGCGTGAGCATACTCCTGACACCTGGAGCACCTAGTTTGGGTAGGACCGTCGTTGTTCCGCGCCGGGGAGTCCCACACACGCCGCGCGCCCAGCCAGCGTGCGGTACAGTGCGTAAATGCATTTTCCATCGTCAACAAAAAAAAAGGTAGTCTCTTACTGGACACAATGACCACTTTATAAACACACTATCTCTTTGCTGGAACTTCTATAATATAATTGCAGCTTACGGCATCCTTTTTTCCCGACTTATAGCTTAGTTTGATACAGGACACAAATGAGTCAAGTGTATGTCTTTAAGTATCTCGGCTAAGTTTTGTTAGTATAAGCACTTGAATACTCCCAGTTTGGGCATAGCTGGTGGTAAGAACAAGCACTCCCATGCAAAGCTGCATGATGAGGTGCAGTGTGTGAATAGCGTAAACCTAGTACACATTGTCAATAAAAACAATTACCCAATAATGGCTTCATGGATCCCTAATTGTATTCCAAAATTAAGTCCTTGCTTATATCCAGTGTTAAAACTGCTCTGAAATGTAGCACTTTGTCCATTAGAGGCACCTTCCCTGAATCCAGTCTGTGGTAAGAAAAATATTTTTTTTAACTTAAATTAAATGAATGTGCTGCATCAATCTACAAGCAAAAATTGCTGTTGGTTATCAAGTAAAATTGTCTATGAGATTGATGTAAAACTAAACCATATTTGTTTTTTACTGGAGAAAGTTCCTATTTATCACCTAAAAAATATACCAATAATATAGTTATAAACAGAAAGTGTCTGTCTGTTTGTAAACTTTGACAATTAAACTGCTGAACAACATTTAGATGAAATTTGGTATAGGGATTTACTGATTTAGAAAATGAGTGAGTTATAGATAGCAGATTGATGAAAAAGTAGATTGGTTAAAATAGGCTTCCATTACTTTCGTATTTCAAAGCATGAAATAGCCACAGCTTCAATTTTACATTAATTTCAAAATTCTCAATTAAGTCTAATGTGCCTAATTTTGTAAAGGGTGGTCAAAACACGATGATTCTAATCAGGTCATTGAAGTTTCACAATCTTTTTGATGGTGCCATTTAATACTAGTAAAGTACAAATTAGGGCTTTCATTACCTTGTTTATATTTTCAACAGAACGAACCCAAGTTCTTAAGGATATTAAGGAACTTTCCTCTTTCGTCATTTTTAGCCATTAGTTTTTTCAGGTCTCCCGTAAGCAAGGTCCTTGGTCAGTGCTCCCAACTATAAGTATGTTCCAAACGAATTTAGACCAAAAGTAAAGAAACACTTTACCGCTCAATTCCGACGCAATGACACACTTAATTGATTTCGCAACACATTCATTTGCATTTCTAGGGGTTTGACTTACGAATTCACATCTTTTATAATCTAGTTTTAATCTAAGTTTATAGCACTTAATTCTTCTTCTTTTATTATGGCATGACGGCTAATGTTGCCAATTGCCATATGCAAGTTTCATCTGTTCTAATTGGGTAGCAAATCGATTAAACTTGATCGATTAAAGGAGCGGAATATGGATAGTTGGTACTTTAGTCCAGGCAACGAATGCTCAAAAACAGGTAGAGGGAATTGCTTAGAACACAATTTTTGACTTCGTGACTTTGTTAGGACTAGTTAGGAGGTAAACATATCAAAAGTCCCCGCCCGTAGCCCTTAAGCCGGGGGGAGGGTGGGGGCTTGAAGGTCCCATTTTTAGGGTTTTCGCATATATCTCGAAAACTATGCATCCTAGCGACATGAGACTTTCACAAAAGTGAAAGCTGATTAAATTTGCTACAAGTCTTATTCAGTCAAATTTTTTGATATCTTGTATAGTTTTCGAGATATCCGCTCTTGAAAGTCTGTAATTATGGAAAAAAAAATTGTTCCCATTTTTGCTCCATTTGACCGGATAACTCTTCAACAATGCACCCAAAAAATAAATGCCGGCCGTAGGGTTGTAGAGCATTAAATTATCTTCAATAATAGAAACAATTGCCTTTTTTTTTATTTAAGGACAAAATTGTTAGTGTAGTAGACGTATGGAGGCGGTACGGTGGGCACTAGGCCGCGTACTCAGCCCCCACGCGCGGGCCGTCCTGCGCACGTCTGTGGGGTCCTCGCGATACCCCGGGAGACCCCTGCCGCGGAACCTCGGCAAGGCCGGGAGGCTGCTAGGTGCGGAGACGCGGAAGAATCCCTAAACGGGGATTCCGCAGCTTCGCACTAAGCAGCTTAGAGGGTGTTCGCAGGGTTTTTTAGCGGATATTATGCCGTAAAGCGCCCGTAAGGGTTACGGGGTCCTCAGTGGGCAGCCACTGCTGGGGCTCGTAAGGCTTGCGGGAGCCAGGTGTGAGGTCCGTTCGGCGGTGTGCCTCTTAAAGGCGCCGTCGTCTGTAAATAGTATTTTTTGCCTGCGTATAAAAAAAAGGGTAGTAGACGTATTGACTAAAGGGGGTGTCCTGCGTTCCTGTTCCCCAGCGTGCCAAAATTGCCAGGGGAACTGCTTGAATGGGGTCCCTCAAGTTGACTCCGAAGTTGAAGAAGAACAGGAGGATCCTCTGACCGTTTCCCTACAGGGTTCCGATGGAGAAAATGACACAGACAAAGAAAATGTAAACGAAGACGAGGATCAAGGTCCTTCCCACCCCAAAAGAGCAAGAAATTAACTATATTGGATTTTTTTACAAATATCTTTTTGCACGTCATAGTGAATTGTATCGAAAACTGCTGCCGTATTCGTACCTGTATAGCCAATGAGAACCGGAAAAAAACCAGAGGCACAGGGCCCTACCGTCTCAATTTTTTTTAAAGTCCAGTTTTATAATTTTAATCATTCTTAATACTACTTTTTGTGTTGAGCTGGACCAATACAACACCAGACAATCTGATCATTTAAATAATCATCTAATTTATAATAACCTTTTTTGCATAAAGTAGTTAAATCTTGCAGTTTTTTTAAACTTATTTTCTGGATTGTGTGAAGAACCTGGTCAGTGGGCCAACAAGTACATATTCTAAAATGAGCATGTGTGCTATTTAGACATCGGTGCATCGTTAAAGAGTTATCCGGTCAAATAGAGCATAAATGTAAAGCATTTTTTTTTTCTATAATTACAGATTTTCAAGAGCGGATATCATTATTACAGATATTATTATTAGATAATTACAGTTTCTCAATGACACTAATTTACTTTTTTTTTTACTTATGGACCTCACACCTGGCTCCCGCAAGCCTTACGAGCCCCAGCAGTGGCTGCCCACTGAGGACCCCGTAACCCTTACGGGCGCTATACGGCATAATATCCGCTAAAAAACCCTGCGAACACCCTCTAAGCTGCTTAGTGCGAAGCCGCGGAATCCCCGTTTAGGGATTCTTACGCGTCTCCGCACCTAGCAGCCTCCCGGCGTTGCCGAGGTTCCGCGGCAGGGGTCTCCCGGGGTATCGCGAGGACCCCACAGACGTGCGCAGGACGGCCCGCGCGTGGGGGCTGAGTACGCGGCCTAGTGCCCACCGTACCGCCCCCATACGTCTACTACACTAACAATTTTGTCCTTAAATAAAAAAAAAAAGGCAATTGTTTCTATTATTGAAGATAATTTAATGCTCTACAACCCTACGGCCGGCATTTATTTTTTGGGTGCATTGTTGAAGAGTTATCCGGTCAAATAGAGCAAAAATGGGAACAATTTTTTTTTCCATAATTACAGACTTTCAAGAGCGGATATCTCGAAAACTATACAAGATATCAAAAAATTTGACTGAATAAGACTTGTAACAAATTTAATCAGCTTTCACTTTTGTGAAAGTCTCATGTCGCTAGGATGCATAATTTTCGAGATATATGCGAAAACCCTAAAAAGGGAATTTTGCTAGCGCATATAATGAGCTTAAAGAGTCAGTAAAAATAATTGTTTGCTTTAGTTTAGCCAGTCTTCTAAATTCTACTGCTTTGTAGATACCGAGGCACTCGGCAGTAAAAACTGAAGTCTGTGGAGGCAGACGTATTTTTTGTTGAATCTTGTAGTTGCTGTGGAAGATTCCAACTCCAACGTCCTGCTGTGCGGTTTTAGACGCATCAGTGAATATTTTGTGCCACTGGTACCAGGTCTCACTTACTATAGCATTAAAGTAGACATTTGCATTAGCCTTATCGTCGATGTGGAGGTTATAAATTATATTAGGGTTAATAGATAAAGCATCATAATCTGTGTTAAAGATAGGAGGAATATGGAAGTGATGAACAGGAATGTCTTCAGCTTTATATTTATTAAAGGTTTTAACAAGTGGTGGAAGTCTCTTATGAGACCAGTAACTAGTTGTAATTACCTTTTCTGACAAAATTCTTAATTTTTCAATAACGGGGTTGTTCGTCAAATCGTCAATTGAACGGCCTTATAAAAATATCTGTCGGCTAAATACTGTCTACGAAGGTGTAATGGAGGATCATTGCATTCTACCTGTAACGCGCATATAGGGCTAGACCTCATGGCACCAGAAATTATTCGTAAGGCTTTTGACTGAATACCATCCAATTTCCGAAAGGCGCTAGCATTGCCTGGCTCCAACAAAAAAGTTCCATAATCTAATATGCTTCTTACAAGGGCAATGTAAAGCAATCT